AGTGTACCGTGATGTAAAGGGCTTGGGGTGTAGCAGGCTGTTCACAAAATTCTCATGATGCCTTTTCCTTCCACTGATTAAGCCAAAGTTTGATGCTGTAAATCTGAATTTTCTTTCCTGCTTCCACTCTTCACAATTAGACTGCCCCCTTGTTTTGGTCTCAATGTCATTGATTTTCTCTTCATCAACACTAAGCTTTTCCAGTAAGGCTTTCTCAATTGCTGCCAATTCATCAGGTACAGCAAACTCCTCTGTTGCTGTATTGAGTGGGAATCTTGGATAAGAATTAATTGAGACATTGTGTGTGTGGCCTGGGTCAACCCTAGGTACATGAGAAATGTTACAGTACACTTTGAAATTATCCTCTGTTGTGGACAGCTGATAACTTGCATAGGAACCTTGAGGGCTTTTACCAAATTTGGTTTCTAGCAACTGTGAACTTTCAGGAGAAGGTTCCATTATTTGTGCCAATGCCATTTTTGGATTTTCCTTTTTCAACCTTTCACACAACTTCTGCTCATCTGCTCTTTGACTTTTAATACTTTGGAGTGTCCTAGCTTCATATAATAAGCACCTCACCCCAGATTCTCTTGATGAAGATCTGTCTAAGTCTTGATGTGTTTTGAGAACAACAACCTCCATAGCTGGTTGTGAAACTATGGTGTCCCCCCTACCCTTTCGATGCCACTGCTGCAACATAGATGTGCAAGCTTGTTTTGGTTGCATGTCATCCTCATTGTCTAAGTCACTTACACTCTTGCATTCATACAATGTGAACTTGCAGACTTTCATCATCAAGGCTAACACATGGTTACAAAAACCAACAGCACCAGCAACACAGGTACAGTATGCATGTTTTACCTTTCCGCTTACAATACACAGAGCTACTTTTAAGTTATGAGGCGGGTCATTCTTTCTAAAACTGTGGTGACATAGTGACTTGAAATAAAAATAGCTCCCATCACTTGCTGCCAAAATTTCTTTCAAGTATTCGTCTTCAAGAAACGTGGTAGCTTTTCTAACACTCGTTGGAACAGAGTGTGTCTTGGAGCCAATGTTTTTCCCTGACTTCGAAATATGTTGATTCACTTCTGCGCGAGTGAAGAAAGGCATTTTAGTAAGGTCGGTGGACCAGCCATCTGATGGATACTTCGGTTGTGATTCACCGGATACACTCGCATCAACATCTTTGCTCGTCGCCTCGTTGCGTTCTTTTCTTTTCGTATAGATCCGATTCTTGTCTGGATCGACAATGTTCTGATCATGGCCAGTCTTTATATACTCCTCAACCCTTTGTTAAAAAAAAATGATCGCTTTAAGTTTCGAAAAATTTTGCATCGAAGCCAGATGCGAACTCAACATGTGCGGAATCTGCAAACTGAGAATGACACGAAATGTTGCCTTACCTTTTCACTAATAACGCCTTTGTCTTCAAACCCTTCAATGAATCGCCACGGCATTTTAACCAAAAACGAAGTTCTTCGTTTTTTAAACTCGCTGATTCTCTTCCAGCTAGTGAAGCGCCGGGAATATCGTCCTCTGTCAAAGAACACGCAGCCATCTGTGACGATCAAAACAAGCAGGGAAAAGCCGCGGTCATGATCGAGGACTGACTAGCCTCGCTTCCACGCTACTAGTCCCGGGCCGTCCGAGTGATCCGCCATATTTGCATTCGGTGTA